ACATAAGGCACAAGCACAAATCACATGTAAGCAATATACATACACAATCAATATCACATGCACACTCATTTATCATGCAATGATGTCATGGACTCGACTCATAAATTCATGCATGTGGCACCATACAGTAATAACTATCGTCTTATTTTATAATCACTTTTTTATGATTATTTTATTATTTTTAATTATATATTATCTCACTTGATTTACATGTTATAATTTCTACTATTTCTACTTTATTTTATTTTATATTATTTTTAAACAAAATATATAGAATTACGAAATGTCTTAACTTTATAATATCCTAATTGTTTTTACTAATATATTTTTTTATTTTTTATTTATTTTTACATTTAATGAGATTATTTTCTTATAATTATTTTAATTAATTAAAAGAGTTTTATAAAATATTTTAGAGACTTTTAATAACTATGACTATTTTTAATTAAATAATAAATATTTGTAAAAATTATTTTGTATAATATTTATTAGAGAAATTATATTTTTATAATATGTTATTATAATAAGTGTTTGGAGAGAAGTATGTGCTTTTAATATAATTGTTTATATATTTTATTTTAATTATAATTGTGTCGAGAGAAATATATTTATTTTATATATTATATATTTGTTAATTATTAATTTATATTTTGTTATAATTATTTGGGTTAGGAGAAATATGTTTATTTGATATATTTTTTATCTATAAGTTTTAATATTTGAAAGAATGGAAAAGAAAACATGGTTAAAGTATTTTTAATGAAAGTTAAGTGCGGGTTAAGTTTTTCTAAAAGAGAATTGTAACAATTCTTTTATTTTTACGCTTTTTATTTTTCATATTATGCATACACTCTAAAGAACGAGAAGAAAAAATAGAGCTCATAGGAGAACACTCTAGAGATTCACGTCTTTCATCATGTGACACCCTCTACTCCAACATACATATACAGTAATTATAAAAATAAAATTCTTCATCACTAAAAAACAAATCTCCAGCCACATAAGGGTAAATAGTTCACATTCATAAACTTAATTCAAATAACATGTCAGTGAAATTACAAAGAAATAAAATTGAGTTTTTAAATAGTTTAATGGAAATAACATCCTAAACTAAGCCTAGCTATGCCTTGATGTCACATATCCTATCAGAGCATGCCCAACTGAAGTCTAAGCCTCATCACCAACATCCTCGTGTTGATAATTACTTGCAACACAATTTAAACACATACAAAAAATAGCAAGGAAGTGAAAAATATCTCACTCAAGTTTAGGTGTAGAAATAAATGTTAGATAACACACAACAAACATAAGGCACAAGCACAAATCACATGTAAACAATATACATACACAATCAATATCACATGCACACTCATTTATCATGCAATGATGTCATGGACTCAACTCAAATGCATGCATGTGGTGTCATACGGAAGCTTCACATTTCTCATCATTTCATCACTGATTCCAAAATTTGATTAAAAGGAAAAATCAATTATTTCCAATTAAAAATATTAATTTTTTACGTTGAAACACATAAGGTAGAATACGCAGTCACAAATTCCAAATTTTGACCAAATTCCAAAATTTGATTAAAAAGAAAAAATCAATTCTTTCCATTAATGTGGAATTAAATAAATATAAAATTTGGCCACTTTGGTGACTAACAAATTCATCGTACACTTAATTCCAAAATTTGATTTATAAAAAAATCAATTCTTTCCAATTTGATATACAAATTTAGGTATTTCATAAAAAGGAAACTTTCAAGAAAATAATTCTTGCGCGATTACCACTAGGATTTCGATAATGTGGGATTTAATATATTGATCATAATTCAAAATTAAGAATTATATTCATGATTCAAAACAAACAACATACAGCGGAAAATTAAACATAATATTGCAACAATGACCTTGATAGAATTATTCCACTTCCGGTGGTACCAAAGGATCAAACATAACACTTATATAATATTCGTTTATTTATCTATCCTTTTCCTTTTCACTTTTCATAATATTTTCCCACTTCAGGTGAAGAAAATATTCTTTTATTTTCATTGTCGTACAATTATCTCACTTCGGGTGAGAAAATATCCTTTTATTTTCATTGTTGCACAATTATCTCACTTCTGGTGAGAAAATATTCTTTTCATTATTGTACAATTATCTCACTTCTGGTGAGAAAATATTCTTTTCATTATTGTACAATTATCTCACTTCTGGTGAGAAAGAATTCTTTTCATTATTGTACAATTATCTCACTTCTGGTGAGAAAATATTCTTTTCATTATTGTACAATTATCTCACTTCCGGGAGAAAAAATTGCTTGAAATTTCTTGATTTGACAATGTCTTCTTGATCATTGCAAAATCGTTATATATGTATATATATATATAACATTCATGGAGAATTATACAATTTTACAACACATATCATTCACGGAGAATCATTCAATTTCAAAACCTTGCTCTGATACCACATGTAAGTTTTATAAATTTTCTAGTACATCATTATTTTATAGAAAATTAAAGGATCTTTGAAATTCATGATGCTCACATAATAATAAGAAAGTGTGTACCTTTCTCCATAGTAGAAAACTTCTTTGATCCTTAGAGTGCTTTGATCTTCTTCGAGAAGATAACCAAGATTTCACTCCCTTTGACTTTTCTTTTCTACTCTCTCTATCTTTCGTGATGGCTAGGGTTTGAGAGAATACTTTCTGTCAGGGGTGTGGATCTTGTCTCACATTAGTGGATATTTATAATCCCTAAAGATTGTTATTTCCATCAAATAACAATTATTCTCATAAATGCTCCATTAAACCCATTTATGATTTAGTCTTTAATTATTTAATTATTTATTAGTCCCTTTATATATTACATATTTTCCACATGAGACATAATTATCTTACATACTTGGGTAGCGGCTTGAAAAGAACAGTCAAAGAATACTTGTTATAGATCTTGGGAAAGAATTCTTGTAACTTTGAGAAAGTTAGTATAACTCAATCTAGTTGGATTGAGAACTGGACATAGTCTTTGTGTTTGAGACAAACTAGTATAAAAATATTTAGTGTTCCATATGTTCTTTCGATTACTCATCCAACACTTCGTTTTTCATTGATACTACTTTACTCCTAAAAAGTGTGAATTTTTTATATTCACTATTTAATCCCTTCTTTTAGTGACTATCTTTTCTCCACAAAGTTCTTACTAAATAAATAAAGTTTACAATCTTTTTCAAATATTTAAAAATTATTTGGTATCTCGTAACATAAATTAAAATTAACAATATATATATATATATATATATAATCAAGAGAAACAATGTTATAAAAAATGAATAATATAACTTATTTATGTACGCATGTTTTTCTCATTTAAGCGCAAATTTTTGTTATAATTTTAGATAATACTACCTCCAACTCTAATTATAAACAACTTAAGACAAATCATAAAATTTAAGAAAGGTTATTAATATAGTTATTTTTAATTAATTTTACTATAAATTCAAATTTTATTCTAAATATATCATTTATTTTAAGTAGTTGTTATATTTGATGTTAGTTATAAGTGAATGCATAAAAAACAAAATCAATAATAAATAAAAGATATAAAAGAAATTTAACCTTAAATAACTATAAAACTAATAATTGTTACTTATAATTATAACCAAAAAAACCTAATGTATTTCTTGTAATTAAGACTAGAGATAATATATTGTATGGACTATGGTTAGGATGGAGCGCTTTTATATGTGGTACATGGTGGACAATAATTTTTAATCGTTAGATTAAACTTATCCTATATTTTATATCATATGTTCACCGCAACATATTATGCTTTCTAACACCCTTCACACTTTGACTACATCCATTAAAGAACATTTGTTCTCTTGGTCATTGTGTGACCACCATTGATGAAGTCTCCTTTTGAACTTGACCTCTACTCCTAGTGCAACCTCGGTTATTTTGTTGTTGGCATCAATGGAGTCTTCATTCAACACCTCTTGACATTGGATATGTGTCTTGCACTTGAAAGCTCTCAAGACAATCACTTTAAATCGCAATCCCTCAACTTCGCACACCTCTTCAAGTTTCTTCTCTCTCTTCTCACACTTGAATTTGTGTAGGGTAAAAACCACTTTGTTATGCTATTTTTCACCTTAAAGTTTTCTTTTGTTTTGGAATCAAATGAGAAAAAAAAAAAAAAAAAAAAAGTGAACGTCATGGTTGGTTTCTTGGAACTATACACATGCAAAATTTCAAGCCTTTATTTTTAATTTTTGACAAAAAAGAAAATGATAATGGCAGAGGAGTGGTGATGATCACCATTTGAAAAAAAAAAAAAAAAAAAAAAAAAAAAAAAAAGTGAACGTCATGGTTGGTTTCTTGGAACTATACACATGCAAAATTTCAAGCCTTTATTTTTAATTTTTGACAAAAAAGAAAATGATAATGGCAGAGGAGTGGTGATGATCACCAACCATGAAAGAAAACAAGGGTAGGGAAGTGAAAAAATATTGAGGGAGGAATAATCCAATGTAAAAGACCTAGAACAAATTAATCATACTACATATTAGATTCTCTTTAAAATTAGTCTTGTGACAATAGTGTAAAATGTGGTTACTTGATGTCCATACCCATTTCCCATATCACCTACCTGGTAAATATATATGGTCCAAACTAAGCATTTATTTTTGAAGGATAACATTGATTACCTAATATTTTCCCCGCCTTACAATGACGATAATTTTAATATTTAAAAAATATCTTAAAATAAAAAATATTTTTATTTTTTAATATAATATTAATTTTTTTCCTAATTTATCTATTAATAATTTATGTAATTACCACAATTAAAAGTAATAAATTTATTAAATGGTAGACTATTTTAATAAAATTATATCAAACAGTAATATATATTTATTAATTGTTATTCTTAAACTATATGTAAAAATTTTAAATTGTAATAATTGTGGGACAGAAAAAGTAAATGACACTTGACTCAAAACTCAAAATGTTCATAAACTCTTGGCGTAGAGATTACAATTATGCATATGACGAGAAAATTAAATACTCCCATTGCTTCACAAAGCTAAAGGAATAAACACAAAACAAGCAACATATTACAAAAACATGGTTATTCAAACATACTTGAGAAATGATTAGCTAGTGCTTAACAATCAACACAAGAGGTTCTATTCTCACATGTCACAATGGAGTAGGTTGCATGCATTCTCTGGCACTCAACTGTTTCATTGCTTTCAGCACCACATTAAGCTCAATCAGAATCTGATGATGATGAAATATTTTTGTGTTTGGAAGCTTCTTTCTCTTTCTTCTTTCCCTTCTTCCCATGCTTTTGTTCCTTGTGATGGTGGCCTTGGTGATGCTCAGTGGAGAAATCTGAGATATCCATGTGCACACCTGGATCATTGGCCTGATAGCTGCCACCAAACATGATTGAGTTGTTGATGGCTTGGAAGTTGCTGTTAACATAGGTGCTGAGAGCCTCTGGCTCTTCACCATGAGAAGGGTTGCCTGATTTTTCATCCAATTCACTTCTCATGGTGGCACCGTTGTTGTTTCCTACAAGGGCAACCATGCTCAAACCATGTTGTTCATCGTTATTCAAATGGTGGGTTGAGCCTGGTTTGTGAAAATCTGTGACCTTGTGAGTGATGGTAGAGACCATGTCCCTAATCTCTCTATCCAATTGCTTGTGTTTCTCTCCTTCAGCAGATGGAGAGTGACTTGGCTGCACTGGTGAAGGCATTTCCTTATGGTGAATGAATGGAGATTTTTCACTTTAGTGATGTATGTGTCTGATTTGTTGTGTTCAATATGAATGTGAATGTGGGTGTGGGTGTGTTTATATGAGGAAGATGTGTGACTCTAAATTTTTGTGGGGAATAAAGGGAGTGGAATGACTTGAAATGCAATAAAAGGATATTTAATTTATTCTAATAAGCAGAGAAAAGCTGAAGAAGGATTGCTTGACATTGGGTTAGCCTATTATGCTTACACTTTGTGCTTTTATTGCCGTCTATATCATTGTGAAGGGAAAGAATAGCATTTTTAAACTTAATTTAAAAGCCAAATTGGACGAATCGTTGTCACACGAGAGGCACACAGACCTGAGCCATATTAAGAAGTTGATCCCTTTTTGTTTTTCAAATATTCTCCTTGGGAATTTTGAAAATAAATATATTACACTCTGAACTCAATGTATTTTAAAGAAGGGTGCTCTCCGCCAAAAAAAAAAAAAAAAAACGGGTGAAAACACTTTTTTAATGCATTATTATATAATAGTTTAAATTTATTAATAAAACATAAAATTATGATTTTTAATAAACTTCAATTAATAATAAAGCATTTAAAAAATAACATGCTCCTTACATTTCTTTTTTAAAAGCCAAATTGAAGATTAACCGCTAAGTGTTGGACATTCAACATTGCACTAGTTGCTAAATGCGTGATTTGAGAAAACATTTTTTTTTTTATTTTATTTTATTTTATTCTATTTTACGAAATTCATATAAGAAAAAGAAAAATTAAAACAAAAAACAATAACAAGGTACATTCAACTTATTCAAGTTCGTTGTTTCTTATACAAACTTTTAGAAACCAAAAATAAAGTATCGAAACATAAAAATATATTTATTATATAGTAGTGCTAAATAGTATAAAAGATCGTTCCTTAAGTTGTGGTTAATTGTTAGTTCGAATCGTTTAATATTTGTGTTTTTTAATTAATGATCAAGATTCGATCATTAACTAGAACATTAAGGATTATTGACTCGATCACTGTACTCTTATATGAACCAACCCAAAGAAAAAATATTATATCTCCTTATATAACCAACAAAAAATAGTATGAAAAATACCTACATTTCATTGCTCTGAAAAACATTAGACTCAAACTTTTTAAGTAAGAACTCAAATTCGAATATTTAGGATTAAAAGATGAAAATAAAGGAACCCAATTAAAAATTCTTCAACATAAATTAGTAATCAACTTTTGATAAATACTTCCCATCAATAACGGTTACCGGAAAAATAGGGCGAAAGATTTTGGTGGAAAAACTTTTTCAAAACAGGCTCTAAACTTCTAATATAATTGGTTCAATTATAACCTTGAAATAAAAAAGATTTGATAACTAACTAAAAGTATTCATGCTATTCGAATTCATACCAATAAACAATTCCTTAAATCATTGAAAAGAGCTCATAATCCCCTCAGCGCACAAAAAGAAAACTATGTATACTACTAAATAAAGGAATAAAGTTTTGGAAATTTGACTGTAATTTTTTCACTTCTGGTATATCATGATTTTACATACTAAACGTTACACGTGCATTACTTTCGTGTCCACATAAGGATTAACTTACTCGGATGTGTTTTCAAGCTTCTGCAACAGGGATTTAACTCGCTTTCATCAGCCTATGAAGACTTCTAAATCCTTTTTCCTCTCGTACAAATAAAGCAGCAAATTAGCATGCATTGCAAAAAAAAAAAAAATGGAGCAGTTACATTGTACAAACCTACAAGGTACAGTCACATGGAAAACAATTGGGGAATTTTGACACCCACCTTAATAATGACAGAATAAAGGAATCAGGCATAAACAGCATAACCTCATTTCTGGGGGAACACATGGCTGTTAAATTAAATATTGCACAGTTAGTAAGGCTTGCTGTAAAGACCAAGCAAGGGTTTCTCCCTCTCCTGTACTCTTTTCCTTGCAGCCTCTCTGGCCTTGAGAGCTGCTTTTTCTTCATCAGAGATAACCTTAGATTTTTCAACAGGTCTTTTTCTCTTTCCAACCGCAAGAGATGAAGGAGCAGCTTTCGTATTTTTTTTGGGATTCAAAGAAGTTGTTACAACTGGCCCAGGTGCAGATCCATTATGAAACATATTTGCTTTGTTTTCATCTGATTTGGACTGTGACGTTGACAAGGACTTCTTTGCAGTTGATCCATTGTTCCCGGCATTAGATGTGAAGTGTGGGGAGGCATATGCTTCTTCTTGTGTCACCCACTTTCCTGTTGAAATTTCTTTACGTCAATATGCTATCCATTATCGACATGATATTATACATGTAAGACAACAATTCTAGTGTTATACCTATGGCATCAGAATAGTAAAATCCTGACTTTGGGTCATAGTAAAATCCATTTGTCTTGTGGAAGTAATAGCCTGAACTGCTGTCAAACTCCCATTCTACAAAATCATGCAGAAATAATCAGTTGAGATGCAAAATGAATACAGAAAAAATGTAACACTGACACATCTACTGTGAATACATTGAGTTTGTATCGAGAACCAATGTATGAAGCTACAAGAATATTCTTTCAGGATCATGCTCCTCTGCTGTTTAAACTTTAAAAAAAGTGCAGAGATCCTGCTGACCTTAATTTTAATTGTTTTATGTTAAAATGTTAAAGCTAAATGTCTTTAAGAACAAATTCGGCCCTAAAGAATGTAAATACGTGAGGTGCTGTTCAAAATACAACTGCAGGTTATCCATTCCCATATTTTTTTTCCATGCTGAGCAGGAAGAAAAAATTAAATTATGCTTGTCAACACAAACAGCTCACAAGACCATGAATAGTTTCAGTCTTTCAGAAAATAAATTTTAAATTTATTGAGGGGAAAAAATTTGAGGATGTAATTATTAGACTTGTTTTGATCTTTCAAAGTTTCAATGAACCTAGTATGAGAAGCCACAATATGAACTAGATTTCAATATTATGTAATCTTTTTACATAATATTATAATCTACCAAAATGAAAATAGGGGACCTGGACGGCTGGACCAAGGGATGGAGTGGAGGATAGGGAATAATATCAAGTCTTTAGATTTGATATTTGAGTCCTTTCCGAGGAAAAAGGAATTCCACTTTTTTAATGGAAGAAAGAAATTATCTATGCGACATTTTTAGAGCTGTGTTCATACCACAGATTAAAGTTCCCTGGAGAGAAAATTAAAATTTGAGCGAAACATAATTAGATTATGTAGCCCAAGTTTCCTAAAGACAGCATGCCACTAATCTTAAAAGGTCAAAATTTGGGCTTATTTTAATAATCTATGATTGACTCCAACTCCTAAATTTACCACATGAAATTAATATTACTTGCCTCAATTTCCAATTGTCAATAGATAGTCTTCCATTTCCCCTTACAAAGTAAACTCTGTCATAACTGCAGCTTACAGAGCAATTACTCATAAAGTAACGGTTGTCTACCATATCCATTTATATAAACCAACTCCCACCAAAAATAAAAACTGGTCTTTTATAATAGTCACTAATCACCCTAGGAGAGAAGTGTGGTGCACTCCTAGAAAATCTTCTTTGCAATGCTTTGAAAGACCAGATAATGCGAGTAATTTTTGGAAATGGGGCACTCATAACTGAGTTTACTCAACTCTTTTTTCTTTGGCGAGGGAACTAATTTATTCCCCTATAGTATATGATCTATAGTTTAAATAGTTTGAATGTCAAAACATGCATCAGACTAAGTAAATTAATTGCTAGTTAGAACACAATAAATAGAAATGAATAGAAGTTATACTTACAACCTTGGTCATCCAATTCATGCGATTCTCTTGTTTCCTCAAACTTTGCCTTATCCTTTTGGTAGCTACGCTGCGCTTTCTGCATTAGAATAAAAAGAAAAGGATGCATAAAAATTTACAAATCTCATCTGAGTGTAAATGTGTACAAAATATACAGTACTCCCACAACATCCAAATGTTTCCCATTTGCCAAAAGTTAAGCAAGGGTGAATTTCCAGCAAACTCTCCTGTCCTGTTTGAGAACCGTGCCAGTTCTTGTACAAGGCCGATTTACTATGGTAACAAGACCAGTTACTTGGACAGTTCACTAATTGAATCGGTGGGTCCAGCACAGGTTTTATACCAGTGATATCATGAACAAGTATAAAGAATGCAGCATCAGTATCACAAATATAAAACAAGTGCAAAAACCCTTACTGCTTCAATTTGCTCAATAGCACGGGCTGTTTCTTTCTGTTCTTTCTCCTTAGCAATATTCTCTTTTCTCATAGCAGCCAGCCTCTTGGCAACATTATCTTTGTGGCGTTGGCCAAGCTCATGATTCCTGATGCTGGAAGGGTTGTTTGATATATATATTTTGCAGAAGTCGCACCATTTGTTGCCCTGGCTGACCCAGTACTGAAAACCATAAAAAAATATATATATAAAATAAAAAATCAAAACCCACCAACTACGAAGTGCATCCATACATATAAGTAGTCACAACTAACAATTCTAACCAAACTTTCACATATCATAAAAATGAGCATATCACTGCATCTCAATAATCCACCCCTGCATCCTTCTCTCATGATGGAATTAATGCATACACAGCCAACAGCTCTTATAAAATATACTTAGTACATGTTTGGTATTCAAAATCTTTCTCACGAAACTGAAAATAAGCGATTTTTTCTCCAAAATAAACTGAACCAAGCATTCAATTGTAGTCTCCTACCTTCTGATTCCGGATACATTAATACAAAAACAAGCTATTTTAACATTAATTTGAATTTTAAGCATCAGAGCTGACACAACATGATAGACCCACCACGAACAGAATTTTTGGGTTGTATTTTCGATGATGAACGGGGCAGAACGCCCGAGCAAAAAAACCGAGATATAAATTTTGCGAAGGGATATTATTGCAAAAAGCAAAGAGTGTGTGATAATGATTGTGAAAAGCGTGTAATGTAAAATTGGGGTGATGAACGCGTTTACCTCAGTCATGGCAGCGGATTAGGGTTGGGAATCGTAAACGAATTGAAACTGAGAAGAGAGTGGTTCGTGTGTTTTGCTGCGAAGTGCACCCAAATTCTCTTCAAATTTCAAAACCCTCCCAAAAAGCAAAGCAAAGAGTTCGGAAACAAAACAATGTCAGAGAATTTTCTCTTAGAAGAGAGAGAGAGAGAGAGAGAGAGAGAGAGAGAAGCAGCATTTGTTTGGTCCTGATACGCGTGGAACGAAGCCCACCAAATACCGGGCTAAAAGCCCAACAGCTGGCCCCGGAAGCAGTGTATAGCATGAAACCGGGTCTGAGTTTTTGCTTCTTGCACCCATTAATTTAATTAATACACCAGTCATTTATAAAGATTTTCTAAAGTATCCTTACTTCAACCTTTTCTATTCAGGATCATCCCAAATGTTAAAAATGTATTCTAAAATACCCCATTTAAAATATTAAATGTGTTTTAGAATATTCATTCTAGAATATTAAAAATGCACTCGTTTGAAATATTAAATGTATTTTAAAACATCCATTTTCTAAAATGTTAAAAATATATTTTGGAACAAAAAGGAACTATAATAATCTCACCCTTATGCCACACCTCCTCTCGTCCTCCCCTTTCCAATGGATTCTTTGTCCAATTCAACCAACAATTCTTCATTCTAATAGCAACAACACATTGCATTAATCGACAAGGTCGTGTCCAAATGGGTAGGAATTGTGATACTTGTTAGCAACGAAACAAGCAACAAGTTCTATGAAGTTGTATGGTCCTTGAAATTCCTACTTCAAGATCATGCCTATCACTTGGATATTAGAAAAGAAGGTTCTTCATTTTGAAAAGCTCATTCTTGAATACATTTTTAATATTTTAGAATGAGTGTTTTCAAACACATTTTTCATTCTAGATTAAGTTTTCTAAATCACATTTTTAATATTTTAGAATGGATGTTCAAAAACTCATTTAATATTTTGAATTGAGGGTTACATAACACATTTTTAACATTCTTGATTGAGTATTTTAGAATGGAAAAGATTGAAGTAATGGTAGCTTAGATTTAAAAAAATAAATAAATAAATAAATAAGGGGTGTATGAAACAAAATAATAGGTGCGGGAAACAAATGCCCTAATTCTATAATATTTTCTCGCTGAATAAAGAGTTGTAATAAAAAAAATTAAACAAATTTTTATTTCATAAGCATTTTTAAAGTTTTTTTTATTTATTTCATAAACATGAAAGAAAGAAGAAAAAAATTATACATGAGGGGATTAAAAACAAAACGTCAAGGTGGTCCCATAAAATGTATCCACACGAAGAAAAATGACTTGCATTAATTGTACCATCATAGTTTAGCTTCAAGGAAAGAAAGATTGAACAATAAATAGATCAGAAGGTAGATAGTTTAATTGTTTTTATAAAATGAAAAACAAGTAAATTAGAGAAAATATAAATGAAAAAAAAAATAACTTACAAACTAAAACAATAGTCAAAGTAGCATATTAAAACATGTACCGAAAAAAAGTAGCAAATAAAAATAAGTTAAAATTATTAAAATATTTAATATAAAATTATTTTCATGAAACAAACTTATAAGTATTTTTTTTAATAAATCAACTTATAAACTAATCAAACTTTTTAAAAGCTAATAAAATAACTTGACAAACATATCTAAGTAGTAGAGGTATTTGTGCTGTGATTTGGTTCATTTTTTGTTTAAAAAGTTATTTAAACTAAACAAGAAAATTAAATGCAGTTTGGTTTGTTTCGGTTTGAATGAATTGTGAAAATCAAACTAAACCAATCCAATCTTTTGTAATTTGGTTTTTTTTTATTTTAAAATTTGTTATTTAAAAATTAAATAAAAGTATATAATATTATATTATTATAGAGTAATTTCATATTTCAATCTAAAATTCAAATCAATTCAAATAATTTTGAAAGTTTAAAAAATTGAACTAAACCACTAATTAACAGTTTCACATCAATTTTCAATTTTTTACATCGATTTCTAATTTTTCATTTGGATTAGTTTAATTTTGAACAACCCAACTAAGCATAAACGAATTTGGTTTGTAAATATGTGGTGTGAAATAAGCCCAAGTCAAGAATCCAATTAAGCTAACAATTTGAACTTATTGATATATTATTGTAACAATTACAACACTTTCATAGTCGCTGGCATGAATTGAATTTTATATCATTCTTGCCACTTAGATTTAAATTATTTACTCTTTTTTTTTACGTGGACTATCTACTTTTCGAACTTCTTGTTTCCTGCAATATCAACATCTTTTCATTAATAATATCCAAAATATAATATTTTACTCATTTAAATATATATTTTATTCCTGTAATTTTTTTCATTTTTCATCCTCTTAAACTGAAAAATATTATTTTTTAAATTTAAATATATTTTTT